ACCTGCCAGCAGAGCTCTGAACAATCAGTGAGATCTGAGGGTCAGAGCAGGCCGCTGTCTGTATGGCCAACACTGGCAGTCCTCTAAGGATGGGAGCCCAGAATACCTTTCTGGGGCCAGGAGGCCAAAAAGAAATTACTACCTCGAGATGAAATTCAAATATCAGAACCAGAAGGGGCCACCACAAGCAAGCAGAGTTCATAAAAAATAAGCCATACAGAGACTCCCGCTAGGCCCAGGAGCAAGGTTTGGATGGTTCAAGGAAGAGCTGTGCTTTAAATGGACAGGTTTCTCCCACTCAGCAGTAGCGTAATGACACATAATTGTGATAGAGGATATACTGAAGAGGAAAACCAAACAGCAACAGACCAGAAACAGAAAATAAAGATATATATAATCTATATATAGAGATAGAGACATATAAAGATATACATATATATATATACACATATATATATATATACACACACACACATACATATATATATATATCCCCAGTTCTGAATGCAGAAACAGCAGGAAATCTCTGGAAAGCTTGTGGCTAGCACACTGATAGGCCTCAAAGCCAGTGCCAAAGGTAAGCATCACACACAGTCAAAAACATCTTTGAAGCTCTTCCAGGACTGAAGTCCAACCCACTATGGTGCCTCAAGGCTGGAACCAATCTCTATCTCCTTGGATGAGTAGCAGATATTACTGGCAATATGGGTGAAAAAACTATACTTTCTTCAAACATTAAAAACACAGTCCAGGGGTTTCCCTGGTGGCGCAGTGGTTGAGAGTCCGCCTGCTGATGGAGGGGACACGGGTTCGTGCCCCGGTCCGGGAAGATCCCACATGCCGCGGAGCGGCTGGGCCTGTGAGCCATGGCCGCTGAGCCTGCGCGTCCGGAGCCTGTGCTCCGCAACGGGAGAGGCCACAACAGTGAGAGGCACGTGTACCGCAAAAACAAAACAAAACAAAAAAAACACAGTCCAAAGCACCCAGATGCTCACATGTGGAAGATACTCAAGAGCTGAGATCAAACAGAGAAGAGCTGATTTAACTCTCGCATCCCAAGCTGTCTCAAGGCCATACCCTCACTGAGTGGGAAGAGAGGGACAAGTGAGGCACTATCTAATCAATCAGTGTCTCTCTGTCTGCTTGTCTTCTGCCTCCTCTCACCCTGTGTCTCCAGCCCTCTCTGTGTTTACCTCTCCCTTTGCGTCCATCTCTCCTCTCCCTTTCCCATCCTGCCAAGCACCACACCATTAAGGGGAAGTGGGCTTTTGAAGCAACTGCACTATTACAAAAGAAGACGATCAGAGGCAAAAGCCCTAAAGTGGACCCCAAGAGAGGGAAATGTAAAGGAGTCCCTGACCATGAAGCTATGCCTCTGCCTACTTGTAGCTTCGTGTTTTCTAAAACGTCCTAGTTAAGCGGGATTGGTGTCACCTGTTGCTTTTCCTCTCCATTTTAGACATCATCTTCATAGTTATGTGGACGTGCCGAAGTAAACCTTTTTGACAATCCACATAACAGTTCACACGTGGGTAGTTTTGGTTCTTCTCAATTAAATTTCTTGTTTCTAAGTTATTCAACAGAAGACTCTTCTTCAGCGTTGTGTGTGTAGAAAGGGCACAAATCATGTGAAACAGCTTGACCACACAGGTCTGATTTTGGTGCCTGAACAAGTCCTGCCCCAGCCCTGTCTGGCACGTCACCAATCACGCTAACCCCTGTTACACCAGAGGCCCCCACCCACCCTGGGTCTAATCTGGCTATTGTGGCAAAACTGGTGCCCATTCACAAGTCCATTGTGGTTCTGGTGCCAGCTGGACCCTCGCATTTCTGTTTGTGAGAACGTGGGGTTCTAAGTTAAAGTGAATCAGTCCACAAATGACACTCAAATCGCTACAAATGGAATTGAGAACACTCTGAAAAGCTTCGGCTCTGACGAGAGGAGAGAGGTGAATTCCTGTCATGACCCCGCCGCAGTCGAATGCTCAACGCACACACACACACACACACAGACACACACGCCCTATATCCTTCTCTCCTTGCCAATCTCGGAAGATACCAGCTCTCACCAGAATGTGAAAATATAGGGAGGGAACCAACAAAAGAAATGAAGAGAATGCATGCAGCATGAACTAACTGCATTCTCAGTATATGAAGCAGGGAATCAAAGAACATTCAGCAAATATTTATTGAGTACATTTATTGAGTACCTACTGGATACAAACTTCCCTTTCACCAAGATAATGCCCCTGACACCAGAAACTGGCTTCACTAGGTAATTACAACTCTGCTCTCTGTTTCTCCCCAGACATTCTCTTCCCACTTCATGGATTTTTCTTGGCCTGATACAATCCTCCTTCTGGAATTCTCTTAAGTAACTACATTGCCTTGGCCATTCTGGTTTCACCTGCTGGCTGACCTAGTTCCAGCTTACTGGAACTAGTGGTAACGGCCCATCCTGACCCTCTGGACCATTTACACCTGCCCAGCTCAGGTTAACAGTGACACCTGGCGGGACACTCCCCTCCCCAACCTTTAAGGAAAGGAGTCCCTCAGTTTCTAAGAGAAGACCAACTTGAGAATTTAACACACCACCCAGAGAGCATTTTTATTCTTTCGCAGTGCAATATTATTTTCTCTCTAATATTACAATTATCGATGACTGAGGACTTTAACCCAAATTTGTTTAATATTTTGATCTAAGAGTTTGAATGATCTTTGAAATGGAAATCACTACCACAGTTTGCCTTTGCAGGAACCAAACATTCCTATATCTGATATCTGTTCTGCTTAAACTGTACACAAATACCCCCCTAGGATAGGCGTGGGACAGGGTGCCACCTGGGGGAAGATGGAGTGCCAGGTGGGAAACTAAGGCACCAGATGAAATGGCACAGTTTCCCAGAGAGACAATTTTCCCCCTGGAAGAATATATAATATTTTACGGTAAACCAAGCCCCAGTATATTATAAAGTGAACGTGACTTCTTTTTTTTAAGGTAAAACCTCAAGAATTCAAAGAAAGTTCCTGCTTGCAGGCAGTTTACTGGGTTATGTCCACAATACACGCAGATAACTCTACAAATAACCCTCCTGCCTTTACATGTTCTCTGAGGAAATTTTTGAGAAGTATTTCATCCACACTATGAACTTCCTGAGGGCATGAACCACATCTCCTCCTTCTCTTTGTCTCCAAGTACTTAGGAAGGTACCTAAGACAGTGGCACAAAACAGGCACTCAACAATGTTTGCAGAATTAATTTGGCTGAAATAATGGCAATGACATTGTCAATAAGGAAAGATTTTTATCACATCTGAATGGGAGGAAGGGAAGATGAACAGCTGTATGAGGAAGTAGAATAGAAGCAACCCAATTTACCAAAACAGCTAACGGCTGCCATAGTAACAATCAGGTGAAGCAATTCAGTTTAGTTCTTTTCCACTTGAACGAGTACAGGAAGGCAAATATTGTCCTTGTTAATCTCGCAGGGACTTAGGACACAAGTCTACCAGGTGACGCTGGTGCCATTACATTTAATAACATCTCAAGAGTCGGAAAGGCATCGTGATAATAATGATGTCACCAATAATATTAAGACCTGGTTGTATGCTGATCCTAAGAAGGTCATTTTCATCATTTAAAGGTTAAGTGTCAAATATTGGCTGCTGAGACTTAGCAACTCTGAAAAGTAGTTCAGTGTGTGTGTGTGTGTGTGTGTGTGTGTGTGTGTGTAAAATACGGTGTGGTCTGACTCTTATTCTTAATATTGTTACCTTTTTAAACTAGCTGGACCCAAACCAAGTTACAGATGAAAGATGATTCAAAGTATATGGTTTATAGCGAAGTTTAAATTTTTCTACTTCCCTGGTGGAGACACTGCATTTTCACTCATTTGTAAGTAACAGAAAAGATGGGTATCAAGCCCACTTTCTCTACACAATCTCTCTTATACTGCAGTGAGTAAACTTCCATGCCCAGTATTCCTGAACTTTCCAAACAGGAGGGAGAAGCTGGGCGGAGGAAGAAGTGAGGACTCCCAGCCCTGCAGGTCTAAGCGGTGAATGGGTGAGCCAGGCCACTGCTGCCTTCCAGGGCTATTTCCTTTTCTGAGTCTTATGTCTCAGATATGTGAACTGCCAAGCAAAATGTTCAGATCTTCCTAATAATGACAACCAGAGATGCATAAAATTTCAATGAAAATCCAGAGAGCAGAAAAACATTTTATAGTATTAAGATGTTTGTAGTGCCTGAGGAAGAAGTGAAAATAGCTCAAGACATACCATGACTCTAGGCAGAGACAGATGCAAATTAATCTCAATAAAACCTGAATATCTTTCCCACCATGCCCTGAACCTGCAGCAATATAAATGCGCAACAATGTCGTTTTCTACGTAGTAGCAGGAAAACAACAAACACAAAAACCACCATAGAGAATGGCAAATTGGCTAGCAGACCGGGTCACCGAGCGCTGCTGCTCCGGGTGCAGCCTGGAGGCCAGGAGTAGGAGGTGAGGTAGTCAAGTCTCTGAGGTTCGGGGAACGCTCCTAAACCAGCGTCCCGGAAGAATCTCCGGACGCTGTGGATTTCACTCCGGCTTGTGAAACTGAGAAATGAGCAGGTGAAACTTTCTCCCCGAACTATGACTCCGAACGCATTCCTTTTCCTTAACTCTAGGGGATCCCGTCTTGGAAGTGAAAGGAGGAAAGCGATAGAGAGAGAGAGACAGAGACAGAGACAAAGAGACAGAGACACAGAGACACAGGGAGAGGGAGAGACAGAGAGAGAGAGAGGGAGAGACAGAGAGGGAGAGACACAGAGAGAGAGGGAGAGACACAGAGACAGAGACACAGAGACAGAGAGACAGAGAGAGAGACAGAGAGAGAGAGAGAGAAAGGGTCCACTGGGTCTGCACACTCCGAGTGTAAGAGGGAGAGATGGCAGCGTCCCAGGGAGGACAGAAACACCACCACCACCTTCCGCTCTGCAAACCACACACGCACCTGGGGATGAACTTGACCTCGTCCCCGAGTCGCGCCTGGAAGTCCTGCCAAGCCTGGCCCGGGCTCGCCGAGTCCCAGTGGGCGGCCAGTGCCGCCGCCGCGTCCTCGTCGCCCTCGTCCTCCTGGCTGTCCCCGGGGTCGGACCCCACCAGGGCCGCAGTGAACGCGGGCTCCCGCGGCCCCCGGCCCCAGCGCCGTCTCCCGCGGTGGGCCCCGCGGAAGCCGCGCGCGAACTCCTGGAAGGTGATGGAGCCGTCGCGGTCGGCGTCAAGCCGCTGGAACACGGCCTCGGCGTCGGCCGGCCGCACGCGCAGCTCCGCGCACAGCGCGCTGAACTCCTCGCGCTCCAGGCGCCCCGAGCGGTTCGCGTCGCAGGCGGCGAAGACGGAGCGCAGCCGGGCCAGCTCCTCCAGGTCCCCGTCCGGCTCCATCCCGCCTGTCGGGGGCGACCGAGAGGGCTCCGGGCCGCGCGGCCCGCTCGGGCAGCGGTGACGGCGGCGAGTCCGAGGCCACCTGCTGCCGCCGGGAGTTGCGGCGAGTCAAGCAGGTTAGGCCACTGGCGAGAACGTCGGAGCGGGGCAAAGCGCCTGGGTGGGTCGGGACGGCGCGCTCCGACGTGGCTCCGCGCGCGGACCCTGGCCGGGCTCAGCCTCAGAGCGGTGCGAGCGCGCCCCTAGCCCCGCGCACCAACGCCCGCCGCGACTGAGCGCCCGGCGCGGCCTCACGCACTTGCCCAGCGAGGCCCGGCTCCGCCCCACCTGGGAGGAGGAGCGCCCCGCTCCGGTTCCCACGCCTTCGAGAGTCCGGCTGTGCTTTCCGTGCTGGCCTCTGGAACCTGTGTTTGGGGCTCCTGGAGCTGGGGAGCCCGGCCGGAACTGGGGGTGAGGCAGAAGCGTTGCCAGGGCCTTCGGTATAAACAGTGTTTGCTCGGGTAAATCGAGAGCTGGTATGAGAAGCTAACTCACTGGATAGAGAGGGGAAAGGAAGGTAGGGGTAGGATTCCAAATTGGTTAACGTTATGTGTATTTTATTATTTTCTGATTCCGGAAAATTGGTAAACTTCCGTGTATACAAGTTTTCTTACAAACCAAAGTATGAGATTTACCAGAAGACCCCATTCTCTGATTTTACTGGCTTTCTTTAATGCATGTCCCTCCAACGTTAAGGTCCAACTAGTTAATGCACAGTAGGAATCACATAGATCTTCCAGACGCTCAAATCCAAATAATTTTTCTCAGTCCTTGTCTCCTCAACCTGAGAGAAAATTAATAACCAAAATCCTCGGCAGGCAGCAATATTTAAACAAGGACTGAGGTAGCTTTTTTTTTCCTTTCAACCAATCTTACGGAAATTATGCAGATGTATGTTACCCTTTGATCTTAAACATTTATTTCAACAATGCTATTGTTTCTTTAATATTGGCTGCTTCATGGGTATAAGATCTTTAAAATTCATCCATTTTTATCCTCTTAAAAAATCTTGTCTTATTTCCAAGAGACCCTCACTCTGTCATGATTTATGTATATGTTCCCTTTGGTGATTCTCATAGCCTGTGAAAGTGCATTTGGGTTATTTTTACTTTATTCACGTCAATTTCCGCCACTTTTTAGATTTTCTTTTATTTATTTCCATTTCTTTTAGTTATGACTCTATTTCACTTATTCTCATTCTGGATTCTCTTTATTGCTTACTATTTTGTTTTCGATATAATAAAAAGAGGATTTGACTGACACAGTTCCTCAAGCTTGTGTTCTTAAACAGAAAGCTAAGTGCTAAACATCTGAGGAACTGTTTCTTCTTGTGTAGTACAATAAATAAAGTCAACACGCACAGCATCTGTCAAGCTGTAAATACCACTGATAATTACAATCTGTAAATTTAACTGGTAAATTATGAGAGGCATTCCATTAGAAGCCCTGGACTTAACAATCTAATCGCTAAGTGAATACAGTACTATACAAATAGATAGCTAATACATTGAAATGAACTTTATTATCAGTGCAATGTAAATTGTTAGCGATTTTTGAGTTCATGTGCTTTCCTGTTTATTCTAAAGGTTGATTTTTTCCATATAAAGAAGAAATGGGGCTTACCTGGTGGCAGAGTGGTTAAGAATCCACCTGCCAATGCTGGGGACACGGGTTCAAGCCCTGGTCCTGGAAGATCCCACATGCCACGGAGCAACAAAGCCCGTGGGCCACAACTACTGAGCCTGCGCTCTAGAGCCTGTGAGCCACAGCTACTGAAGCCCGCGTGCGTAGAGCCTGTGCTTCGCTACAAGAGAAGCCACCACAATGAAAAGCCTGCGCACCGCAACGAAGACCCAATGCAGCCAAAAATAAATAAATAAAATAAATAAATTTATTAAAAAAAAGAAATGGCTAGCTTGGTAATGCCTTTAAAGCTTTACAAATTTACTTATTAAACTGAATCTCTGAAATATTATCATTGTTCTTTTAGCAATTAATAAATAGCTGTATTTTTCAAAATAGATGAGTTAATAATATTTTTAACTTCTTAGGCAGAAGTGCTTTTTTAGTTTTTTGTGTTTTTTTTTTTGCGGTACGCGGGCCTCTCACTGTTGTGGCCTCTCCCATTGCGGAGCACAGGCTCCGGACGCGCAGGCTCAGCGGCCATGGCTCACGGGCCCAGCCGCTCCGCGGCATGTGGGATCTTCCCGGACCGGGGCACGAACCCGTGTCCCCTGCATCAGCAGGCGGACTCTCAACCACTGCGCCACCAGGGAAGCCCAGAAGTGCTTTTTTTGAAGACTGCTCATGTAACTTCCTTCATTAACTCACTCTGACCTTTGCACTCAATTGTAAATTCTTATATTCTTTCACCTGCTTTGTCCTTTCTGTAAGCCCCTTCATTGAAGGGTCGTCAAGAAACATGGATTATTCCAAATGTCTTGTGTACACATCTCATTTCCACTGATGTGAATCTGCTCCACACCTACTGTAACAGTTATCTATCACTACATAACAACACAACAAACACCTAGTGATTTAAAACATCAACCATTTTATTTGTTCAATATTTCATTGCCATCAACTTGGGCAGGGCTCCAGTAGGTGGTTTTTCTGCTGGCCTGCCTAGGATCATGTAGTCATGGTAGCTTTATTGTGGCTGCATGGTCTTAAGTGTCTAACTCATGTCTGAATTTGGTGCTGGCTTTTAGCTGGATATGTCTTTAGGAGGCTAGCACTGGCTTTGTCATATGGTGGCAGTGTCTCATGAGCGTAAGCCCCAGTGCACAAATGTTTTTCTAGCCTCAGCTTGTGTTGTGTTTGTTGATATTCCATTGATCAAAGCAAGTCACATGGCCAAGCCCTAAGTCAATGGGGGAGGGGATTATACAAGGTCATGGATACAGGGAGATGTACTTTATCGGGGGCCCTTACTATAACAATATACCATACCTAGCCTCTAATACATTCTCTTGGGCTCCTGTCCTTGATTTCCTGTTCATTCTACAACCACAGCTGGACAGTCCTTCTTAAACATCAATTATTCTGTCATTCTGGAACTCAGTCGTTCTGAATCAGTGGTAATTTTGTTCCCCAGGAAACATTTGGCAATATCTGGAGACACTTTTGGTTGTCACAATTCGAAAAGGGGGAGATGCTAGTAGTATCTAATAGGTAGGTGCCAGGGATGCTACTAAACATCCTATGATGCACAGGCCCAGCCACCTATAACAAAAAATTATCTGGTCAAAAATGTCAATAGTCCTGAGACTGAGAAATCCTGCACCCTAGCTCATGAACCCCCAGAGAATCAAGGGTAAACTCTTCATCTGGGCATCCAAAATCCTCTACAGTCTGGTCCCATCTTATATATCCAAACATCTCTCCCTTTAATATCCATCAGGGCTCCTACTGTCCCCCAGATATGCCACACTTGATTACATGATTAACTTAATAGCTTCTCATTGTCATGTCGACAAACATCTTTTAGTTTTTTTCTCTTCTGCCTAATCAAACCATTTCCCAGCCTCAGGTGAAGAGCTGGATCCTGCTTTTCCTATCAAAGTTTCAATTTCATTGTGGGCTGTCACTTACAAGGACAGTGCTGAGCGTGTATTATGTCAGCTCAGGCCATAGGAATGTTTTTTTCTTTTCTTTTTTAGTCTTTTTCACGGTTTTATTTTTTATGTTAAAACTCTGATTCATCTGGAATTTATTTTGGGTCTGGTGTGAGTTGTAGATTCAACTTTATTTTTTTCTGGCTTTCTACCGAGTTGTCTCAACACCGTTTATTCAAGAATCTCTTCTCCATGGATTTAAATACCACCTTTAGCATATACTAAATTCCTGTATGTATTGGAGCTTATTTCTGGACTTTCTAGTCTGTTCTATTGAGGAATCATTCACATCTTGAGCTTACAAAAAGATTCCTAAAGGAGTCCTATTGAGTTGCCTTTTGTATTTTTAAGTGTTTAAAGTACCTCACAAGGTACTAAGGAGTGCTTTTGAATATTTCCAGCAATATACTCAGGGGAAGCCCAAGGTTATATAATCTGTCTCTAATTTTTTGAAGAATTAAGAGGAAAGAGAGGAGAAGAAAGAAATAGGAGGCATTTCTTTTCTGTTTTAGCATCCAGAAACAGCTAGTGAGGAATTGGAGATAACAGAGCAGCCTTTGAGAGCCAGTGAATGGGTAGGTAAGGAGAGCTTGCTTGCAGTTATCAGCATGACTTTTAAGAAAGATCAGCTTGCTTTGTGGCTGCTCAAGGATTTTAAAAATCAGAGATAATCTTGTTAGAGCATGTTTCTCAAAAGAGTGAAAAGATACTACTGTGATCAAATACATTTCTAAAACACAAATACATTTGGAAAAGAACCCTACTGTATCCCTTCTTGGATGAGATAAAGAAAGCTGTTTATACTTGTTTAATCTAATATTTCCTAAATGTATTTGACCATGGAAGCTTCTAGTTTTGGGTTTTTTGTTTTTGTTTCAGTTTCTGTGGGCTTTCCACAGAGTTTGTGCTCTTGAGAACATACTTTGGGAAATCTTGTGATAGACAATGACTAGGATGATGAGTCATGAGAAATTATCCTTTGCCACTACATCATAAATTGATCCAACTTTCTATAGCTGGGAATGAGCACCACCCCTTAACCTCTTCTTCACCCAGTAAATGGAAGAGGCTTTTAACAGAAGCCTATTGTAATCTACCCTATCGGAGTCCCTACAGGTACAAGAGCCTTCCTCAGAGCCTTCCTTAACACTGAAGTTACTCTGACCCAGAAAGATCTGATAAGCCTGTTAAGATGGAACTAGATATCCAAGTAATGGTATACCACTGAGGAACCAATTAGTAGGTTCAGGAACTCTCTCAAACAAACACAGCCCTGCAAGAGCTTGTGTCTTAGTTTTCTCATGAGTATCTACTCAAGGCTTACTATTCCTAAGGAAGTCATAGGAAAATTTTGAATATTTTACAAAGAAGAATATGTCAGCAAATTTACATCATAGTGATTTACTTACTCTTTATGTAAATATGGAAAAAGAAAAACACCCACAAACCCAGAAAGTACAAGTAGGAACATTTTATCATATTCACATCAGATTTTTTTTTTTTTTTAGAAAATAAAGAATTATGGACCCAGTTGAACTTACTCTTTGATTGCCTATCGTTTCTGTAATCAATAGATAGCATTGTTATATGTATGTATGTGCTGGCAGTCAGACTTTGGTAAATCTTTCACTGTAAAAAATTAAGTATCTCTATAATGCTCCAAACAGTATCAAACACCATTTTACAGACCAGAGCAGAGTCGGCCTCCAGTACTAGAACTGAGTGAGAAGTGTTGAATTTCAAACTTCTGATCCCATTATATGATGACCAAGCAAAGCTCATATGTCATTTCCCCACATTGGTAAACCATGTATCTGATACATCTTGCGCCTCTCAGTTGAGACAAAAGTTTGCATTTCATATTATATATGCAGGAAATAGAGAGAAATTGAGTCCAGTGCAAATATATCCAATCTCAACTTTTGGACAGTAGAACAAGGCCAACGGTGGTAAGCAGAATTCTTCAGTAGCCCCCATATTCCCACTTCTTGGTGTACATGCTCTGAATAATCCCCACCTTTTCAAAGTGACCAAGCCTTGTGAATTGGATGGGAGAATCATTCCTGTGATTACATTATGTTATGTAAGACTCTGAGCAGCCTGGAGTGACAATTCTCCTGCTGGTCTTGAAGAAGCAGCAGCTGCCATATTGTGAGAGGGCCCTATAGCTAGGACCTGAGGGGTTAGATTTACTGTGATTAATTGTGTCTTCTCTAGAGTTTCATGTAAATAGAATCATACAGCATGTACTCTAACATGCATGGCTTCTTTTGCTCAGCATAATAA